GTCACGAGAGTCAGAACAGAGTTATAGGAACACAAAGACACAAGACAGAAGTGCAAAGAGCATGTGCGGGCCACAGGCTTATATGTAATCAGCCACACCCCTCTGGAGGATGGACCTCAGAGACCTGAAGGCATAAAAGATTCCCACCATGCTCAGCAGAAATCCAAGATGGATGCCAGCACATGGAGTAACATAACCTCTGGGAAAAGGTAGGACCTTGACATTTAGCTTGAATAACTGGGCACATGTGTGACCGATCCTTAATTATTTTTGCAGGGCTGGCATATTCCACTGATCATTAAACCATTGACCCTTGCCCTAGCCTATTGTCCCTACCACATTGGTGAAATCCTACATATTTTTGGATTTTAGGAGGAAAGCCACATGAACATTCATACTCCATACTCTGTCCTTGGTGGAAAATAAAATGAAAAGTCGAGTGCTAGTGTCCCATCCACTAAGCCACAGTGCTGCATGTAGAATGTTAGGATCTATTTCAGGAAGCAAATGCAGGCATGTTTGGCTGTATGCTTGATAGCTTTGTCTTTGAGCAGAGGGTTTCTTTTTTCAAGCCACTCTATTGTTGCAACAAAAGGCACTCAAAAATCTCCCCACAAATACAGGACAGTTAAAGCGGAACTTCACTCACCCCCCTGCTCATCTTTCTTTTTAAGCTTCTTCTTACCTATCATGCTTGGTTATCCTCAATTAACATATTTATCTGCCTAGTGAATCCAGAATAGTTCTGCTCACGATTGCATGCTGGGTTCCCATGACACCGTCTTCCATCCTCGTTCCATTGGGAGCTGGCTGTCTCCTTCGGATTCTTGCAGCTGGTCCCCTTATGAAACACCACCAGGTCTACCTTCCTCCTTCTTTTTTTTTTTTTTTTTTTTTTTTTTGGACACCAATGCCTACTGGGTAATTTGACATAGTTATTCCTAGAGGCTGCTGCAGTAATACACATCCTCACCTCATCAGGAATGGAGGTAGGGGGCGAAGCAGAGCTAAATTTTGATGGAAATAAAGAGTAACAGGAAGAAAAAATTGTCATACGTTAGCAGAGTGGGGAGGGTTGCATTATTGCAAATTTCAGTTTGGGATTGAAGGTCCACTTGCCTGTTCTGTTAGATTTTTTTTTTCTTGATGACCTATGGCCACTGTTTACAGTCAATCTTTACATCCAACACTACTAGTGTTGCTGGATATCTGCATCCCTTGGTACATGTTGTGGTTCAATCTGTCACCCCCTGCTTCACGTGTGTCTTTTAGTAACATAGGGGCCAGCAGATAGGACCATTGTATTGAGTGGGCGACCAAGTATTCAACCCGTTGGATGTGTGTCAGATGTAAAAATTGTGTCAAAAGTCGTACCTAATGAACAGAGGGAAGATCCAAGGAGCGGGACAAGTGAGCATAAAGGTCTTGTATTTCAAGGTGATTTTTGGGTGCCTCTTTTGTTGTAGCGACAGAATCCCTTTTAGGGGAGAATGATCTGTGTTCCTCTGCATTTTTCTCTCTGAGCTTTAGCTCAAATTCCTCCAAAAATGGCACAGCTGTGGCTGGAATCGCCCTACACTTGACAGGTGATGAGAGAAATGTAGATGACATACTGTAAAATAGTGTATGGATCTGTTCATAAAGCTTTTTATCCTAGCTTGCTAAAAATAACATTCATACACATCAAGTGAGCTGGCTCCAACCTCAGCAGCCCACAGATGTGCCACTCATATCAATGTCTGCACACAATATGGACTCAGCAACGAACGGGAGGTCACCTTTTGAAACTTCAGTCCTGAAGCTGAACTATATACATATAAAAACACTATTAAAACTAGTTTTCCGTACCATAAAATTATTATCCCAAATCCAGGCAAAGGGACTGATTTACTAAAACTAATGTGCAAAATCTGGTGCAGCTCTGCATAGAAACCAATTAGCTTCCAGGATTTGTTTGTCAAAGCGTAATTGAACAAGCTGAAGTAGAAGCTGATTGGCTACCATGCACAGCTGCACCTGATTTTGTACTCTCCAGGTTTAGTAAATTAACACTAAGGTGTTTTATTGAGTTATGGATTAGGCAGGCCTTTGTCAAGTTTTTAGTAAATCCTGTGCCCTTAATTGAGAGATTTACCCTCATTTTCTTTCAGGTTTTAGTCTGTGTCCAAAGTGGACACCTGTAAAGTAGTGCAGTGCTAAATAGCAAAAAATAGCCTGGTCACGAAGGAGGCTCAAGTGATTAATTTAAGTGCCATATCTGTAGAGCCATTGCAGCCCACCCACAGTCTGGCTCAAAAACTCAAAAACGACTAATGGGAGAGCACTGCTCTGTCCTACCTGTGATCCGGGATGACCTGTACATTGAACGTGCTCCAGGTGTAAGTGAAAACAGCACTGTATCTAGTCTTGCACACGCGCTCTCCCCTTCCAAAACTCTGTGGAAACAGGGTGAGTCTTGAGAGAGGGAAAGCTCTTGATCCAGTGATGCTGAGAATGTCCCCAACATATTGTTCATCCCAGAAAACAGGCAGGATGGCGTGGATCGCTCCCATTAGTAGCTCTTCAGCCGGGCTGTGGGTGAGCTACAATGGGCCTAGAGGTATGGCACTTAAACTGTAAAGGGTACTGGGACCCCTTGATTGCAAAGTGCATTTTATTACAATGGTACCGTTAGCCTTTGACAGTCGTGTAGCCTTCAGGGAGGTCAAGCACCTAACTAATCCATCTTTCAGGAGTGCTTGGAACACAAGAGCAGCTGAACAGTCGTAAAACCTTACTGGCAGGATAAACAGTTTACATATGTATTTCAGCAATATATTTAGCTGTTTGCCTGGAGCTCAGATTTAAAAGAAATCTATGGATATTTCAAACGAAATTATGTTACTGGCGACTGTATTGATTTGTGAGGAGGCAAACATGTGCTCAGAATAAATCCTAGGGTGAAACTTAGCAGGAGGCCTGCATACCCTATTATATGTCAAAATAACCACACATGGTCTATGACTCATTCACACAAAGAGAATGTCTCAAAAATTATAGGTTTTTTTTTTTTTTTTTTTTTTTTGTATGTGTTGGATGGTTAGACCACCTAATGTCTCCTTAAATCAATGATTCTGACAAAATCAAACAAACACATCCAGCTATTGCCATGGTAACAAAGGCTGGTAACATGTTAGCTACTTCATCATCATGGCTGACCTGCACTAGAATGCTTACTAATTGCCCAGGATTTCCATTGACATCCCACTGAGCTTTGAAGATGAGCCCTGAATATTTTTTTCTCTTGACTGTCCCTGATTTTCAGTATTGACCAGCTACACCTAAATCATCTTATTTTTCTGCATTCTTCTTTAAATCTTAATTTCATGTTAAAAGGTGATGATTGCATCATGCTTCCCCCAGCCAGCAGTGCACCTGGCAATTTGTTTTTAATTTCATTTTTTTTTTTATTCATAATTATTTTTTTTTTTTTTTTTAATTTTATTTCATCATTAAATACCTGAAAAAAAAACATTGTAAAGTTGCATGGATATGACCAAGACACCTCTGTTTTTCTTACAATGACGTGATACCACTCAAGGATTATATGTTGGTAGCCAGAGGACCCCGGGGTCTAACTCTGACAATCTAGAACCACCTTTCTCAAGCTTTTTAACATGGAGGAACCCAAACTTTCAAGTCTCAGGAAACCTCTGCTAATAATTACTGTATCTACAGCTTTTGGCACTTTAGCGTGATGGGCACTGGGAAGAATGCTCCTTACATTTGTGGTCAGTGGAAAGAATACTTACAAATTGCTAAAAAAGATATTTGGTGTCAGTGATTACTTATCAGAGATGCAGAAATTGCCCATGTTTAGCAAGGAACCCTAAGGCACTATGGTACTCTGGTTGGGAAAGTCTGGCCTAGCAGCTGAGGAAGAGGTTAGGTGACATAGGTGTCATTCATTCCGAAAAATACAGTAATGGCCAACTATGAAAACAACCAAAGGCTAAGGAGGCTAAAGGTTAGCTGAAGGCAGTTGATAAAACAGCAGTTAATATGATTATATTATTTTTAATCAAGTGTATGTGCCATAAATAGGTATGTAGTGTGTCACTTCCGTCTGTCGTCACTTCCGGCTTGACGCATTTCGTCATCAAATTGACTTCCTTCCTATGGAAAATTAATGATGAAATGTGTCAGGCGGAAGTGACGTCAGACAAAACCGGAAGTGCAGTGGTGGCCATTTTGGAATAGGTCGTTTGTATTCTTTATCTATGTAAGCGCAATTTTAACAATAAATATGTAATTTTACATATATTGCTGCACTATGGGCTTGTATATTTGATTCTATATGGTGATCGGGAGTATATGAAGAACCATTAATGAGAGGAGAAAGTGAATATTTTATTACGAATTCAAAGGCACATATCAATGTATGCAGGGTAAGGTGCATGCCCAAAGAGAGAGAAGGAATTAGCATGTGTATGGAGCTGGATGGTGCACTGTATACTTCAATCAAGAGTTTAAGATGTATCGATGAAGAGTGATATCTAGATTTATATGCACATAATTCACGCTGTGAGAGTAAAAGTAATTAGTGTGGATAGTGGTCGGTGCCATTCACGGGGTGGTTTATGTAGTCTGAACACGTTTTGGTTTTGTTTAGTGAGCACATGGGTGTATCACAGTATAAAGTTTCTCAGAACTTACTACACTATATCAGCTTATTTTGTTTTTTGGAGCAGTGGAGTAGATGATAAAGAAGAGGAGACAGAGAAGACTGTATGATATACAACGCATGCTTAATGAGAAGAATCTGGTGAGAACATATGAAGATCTTTCTGCTAATTGAAGGACAGTTTGCGCTGATTTGTGTACATAAGATTGTTCTGTCCAGGGGGGCATTTTCGTTTTCAGCTACACACTAATGTGACTTTGGGCACTTCTGGCAATTAGAAGGCCACTAGGCACAGGACACGGAGGTTAGCGGAGTTCACTGAAGTAGTGGTGCCTACTACAGTGATTTCCAGATTCTAGAGAGAGTCCACAGGTATGGTATATACCAGGGGCGGACTGACCATTCGAGCACTCGGGCACTGCCCAAGGGCCTGGGGTCAGTAGGAGGCCCTATGAGATGCCCCTGGTACCTTTCATTGGCTTTTTCATAGGCTTTTTTGGGTGTGGGCGAGGACACAGGGGCCCCATGATCCCCTATTACCCAGGGGCCCCATGAGTTGTCAGTCTGCCCCTGGTATATACATAGTTGCATTGGTCCAATTTGGACCAATGTAACTATGTAAAAAAGTGATAGCTGGAATACTTCCAGGTGTAGTTTTAGGTTATGTTTATGTAAGCTGAAGACTATTAATTCTGTGCCAATGATGGCCATTCCTTCTGCAACTATTTGCATTTTTGTGTAATATTTTTTTCTATGAGCATATACTGTATAATGGAGCTTGTTTAGAGGAATTCAAATCTGATGGCAATTTTTTTTAAGGTGACTTTAGGAGTGCTGAATTTTAAAGTGATTTTAAAGGCAGTGAGCCTTAACAGTCTTTTTCTACATGCCCCCAGCCTCCAAACACTCTGTGCATACCCAAAGTCTCTGACCATCTCCTATAACATGCCCACAATCTCTATCCATCTCCTATAACATGCTAACAGTCTCTGGCCATCTCCAGTGAGAATTAGCTATCTCTTGCTACATGCCCCCAGCCTCCAAATGCTCCTGCAGCATGCCTACAGTCCCTGACCATTTCCTGCAGCTTGCCCACAGCCTCAACCACCTCTTGTGCATACCCACAGCCTCTGACCATCTCCTGTAGCATGCCCACAATCTTTGTCCATTTCCTGTAGCATGCCCACAGTCTCTGGCCATCCCGCAGTGAGAATTGTGTGCATGCCCCAGTCTCTCCTGGCCATCTCCTATAGAATGCCCATTGTCATTGACTATCTCCTGTAGCATGCCCCCAGTCTCTGACCATCTGGTGTGGCATGTCTGCATTTTCTGTCAGCATTCTGTGGCTCTTTAAAGATGTCAGGACTAGGTAAAGTAATGACCACCACTGGTTTTGATGTTTTCCTAGAGTTCTACTTTAACAACACATAATCATATATAAATACTATCATGTGTGGAAGGAGGGAGGATTGGTTGGGGAAAAAATAAAAAGTGACAATATTAAACATTGTTAAGCATTGATCTTAACCTGCCTGGCTGTATTCCCGAGTGTAGCTCGGGGTAAAGTTTCAGTACCACAAGCGGTAACCCCGAGCTACAATCGTTAATACCTTGCAGCGTTGCTCTGGGATCTGTTCTCTTACCTTGTCCTTCGCTCCCATGATGTCCCTCCTGCAGTGTCCCCGGCAATGTAATCCGGCGGATGCCGGCATCTATCATCTGGGTTCTGTTCCCTGCGAGCGTCAGGACGTACAGGGATGGAACTGGCGGGAAATTTGAAAATATCAAAAAGTGTAATTCAATAAATACACTAAAATCATAGTAAATAACATTACTGTATCAAAGCATTTCATATACATTTTGTCCCGAGTGCTTTGTCCTGTGCCTGCCTGCATTTTTACTGTTCTTTCTGCCTGGAAACTGAGAAATGTCCATGGCGTCCAAAAAGTGTCCCTTTAGGTCAAAAACGGTTTTAGACCAGCTAGAGAACAGCGATAGTAAATCAGAACCACTTGCAGAATTGAGTGATAATGATTTGTGGGGAAATTCGTCATCAGACACTGAAAACAATTTTGCAACTTTGCTGAGTGATGTGCGAACTTGGCGCTATATTTCAAATTTCAGTGGTTTTGGTTTGATTATATTATTGAATTAAATTTTTATTATTATTAAATTATTATTTTTTATGATTATGTATTAAATTATAATTTATGATTTCATGTTTCAAGTTTTATCCATACCCGGGATGTTTACTAGACTCTTGTTCGGACAGATTTCAGTGAATTATTCCTAAAAATTACAGGCCTACAATAAAAAAACTACATATTTCCATGCAAAAAAATGTACCGCTTTAAGAACAGAAATATGGACATAGTCAGACCGCTAGGGAGGTTAATGGTCATCAATTGCATATGTAATGATAAAATGTTGTATAGAAAGATTTGCCAAAAAATGAGACACACTAGACAGACAAAAATGTTATGCGAAACCTGTTAGGTTCAAAGACTTAGGAAATAGAAAAATTATTTGGGTTCAAGTTACTCCCAAATGCGAAGTCAGTGATTGAAACATAACCCCTGACTTTCATATCCTTGCAGACACGGAAATAGACATTCTGCAGTGGAGGTTTCAAGGTACATACAACAGATCTATAATGTATTTGCTGCTCAATGGACCATGTCTTCTATTAGTTTTAGAAGGGAACTACAAGATGTGCATAAATATACATTTACATGACCCTATATACAGGCCACTTCAGACAGACATTTGTTTCCAATGTGGTTTTAGTGTTTAGCTCTACATAATTACATGCATGCCATATCTCTGATGTGATCCTCTACTTGTGTAAAGTGGATGTGAACCCTACATGAATGACATTTAGTTTGCTGAATCACCATGTATCATAATCCATTGCAATTGGTTTTTAATGAAACATTTATTCATCATTTATTGTATCTCAGTGCTGATGATCTGCTGGTGTCTTTTTGCAGCTATTACTTTGTCTTTGGGTGGATCTCCCAAAGGTGAAGGAGATAAATCCAGATTGCATAGTGTGTGCTGAAATGGCCACTTGTAGTCTCCATCAGAATTTCCCCTGAAATAGTTACAATGCATGAGCACAATTGGGAGACAAGGACAGAGAGTTGTCACCCTCTACCTTTGAAGTATTTATTTATATATTGTTACAAGTATTTACTGTATATAGCGCCAACAATTTACACAGCTCTTTACATACATCATATATTCTTCTCAAGGAACTTACAACCTAAGGAACCTAACTCATATTCATACACAGTTAAACAGGAACCATTTACCTATCAGCATGTCTTTTGCAGTATGGGAGGAAACCCATGAAGGTGCAGGTAGAACATACAAACTTCATGCAGGGCGTGCTATGGTTCGGATTTGAACCAATAACCCTAGAGTACCTGAACAAGGACCTTCATGGCAGGATCCCTAGGTTTTTTTTTTTAATAAAAGCTGCAGATTTAAAAATAGTAAAGGCAACAGGCACCATAAGCAGCAATGTTATTTTACATGTCATGTGGATTGGAATTTTTTTTTTATTATTATACAGGATTTATATAGCACCAACAGTTTGCTCAGTGCTTTACAATATAACGGGAGACAATACAGCAACAATACAGTCAATACAAGAGGGAAAGGAGGGCCTGATCCTTGGAGCTTACAATCTAGGAGGGAGGGGCTAGTGGTACAAAAGGTAGTAACTGTGGGGTATGGACTGGTTGGAAGAGTAGAAGATTCCATTATTAGCTGAGGGCAGGATAGGCTTCCCTGAAGAGAGAGGTTTTCAGAGATTCCCTAAAAGTGAGCAGAGTAGGCGATAGTCTGATAAATTGGGGTAGAGAGTTCCAGAGGATGGGGGAAGCTTGGAAAAGTCCTGGAGACGAGCATGGGAGGAGGAGACAAGGGAACTAGAGAAGCAGGAGATCTTGCGTGGAGCGGAGAGTACGGTTTGGGTGATATTTAGAGACAGGATCGTTGATGTAATTTGGGGCAGAGTTATAAATGGCTTTATATTATTGTTAATGTTTTTAATTTTATCTGTTAGGGCAATGGAAGCCAGTGGAGGGACTGGCAGAGAGGGATGGCAGATACAGAACGGTTAGTAAGGTGGATGAGTCTGGCAGCAGCATTCATGATAGACTGAAGAGGGGATAGCCTGCGATGAGGTAGGCCAATGAGGAGGGAGTTGTTGCAATAGTCAAGGCGAGCTATAACAAGGGAGTGAATAAGTTGCTTAGTGGTTTCCGAGGTTAGGAACGGTGTATCTTGTAGATGTTGCGGAGTGAAGTCTACAAGATTTGGACAGTGATTGGATTTGGGGGTGAAAGGACAGATGGGAGTCTAAGCGTTCTAGGAGTTTAGAGGTAAATGGCAGCAGGGAGATGGGTCTTAAGTTGTTCAGGTTGGTGGGGTCCAGGGAGGGCTTTTTAAGTATGGGAGTGATGTGCGCATGCTTTAGAGGGGAGGGGAAGGCACCGTTAGAGAGGGCGCATAGAATGGAAGGAGAGGGTGACCGTAGTAGTTGTGAGAGGACAGGATCCAGGGGGCAGGTAGTGAGATGGGCTTCCGAGAAAACCTTAGTGACCTCTTCGGTAGTAGCAAGGTCAAAAGAGGAAAGTGTTGAGGGAGGTTCAAACTGTGCCCAATCCGCATATATGTGAACCGGCACTTGATGCCTACCTTATTTGACCTAAACTTGTGGTTTTGATCCCCCTTTAAGTGTTTATCAAAGCAGCCACACAGATTTTAGAAATAATTTTAACATAGGCATGAGCTATGCATACATTCTACAGTATAGCTGCTGCCAGTACCAGGCATATCTGTCAGCCACAAATAGCATTGATGTCTACAAATACTTTTTTTGTACTGGTAATCTGCACGTGTGTGGCCTTGTTAAATCTGTGAAAGTTTGCAGATTTGATTTATACCAAGACCCACTACCTACTGGGAGCTGGGTTACTGGAATTTATGTGCCAAACACTTCAAAGCCCATTAGAAATTACTGATGCTTTGTTTTAATCATATTATTTCTATATACACTAAACTTGCGGTTGTAAAAATTATGACATCGGGTCCCCTGGCAGCAGAGACTTTTAAAATTTATTGTGACGCTGCATAAAAGAATGTTTTAAGATGAATTATTCCCCATTTGCCTCTAAAGCATTCAATCAATAAAGCTTTCTGACATGAAATTTTTTTTGCCTATTGTTCTGTCATTTTGAACGTCTTAATGGACAATACAGAATGCATGAAGAAAGATGCATAATGATATAATGCTATTACCTTTAAATACATTTGTGTTGACAGTTGAAGTGTTTTCAAATGGCAAGCTTGGATTGTGATAAACTAAAATATTTCACGTAGTATGCCTGTGCTCAGATTACACCTGCTGAATTGCTGGCCGGACTGTAGATCCTTACAGAATTCATCTTTACTCGTTTTTGTGAGTGCCCACAGAGCCATGAAACTTGGGTTCTTGAGTTCGCAGTTAGGCAAATTACTGTTTAGAGCTTTTCTGCAATGACAGATAAGTGACTGAA